CCGAGACTCTGAACTTTAAAAGGGGTGGGGGGGAGGCAGGTGCGTGTTTAGTGAATGTTACTAAATAACACTGGATATCATGAGAAACCAAAACGTTGTCCTGGTGACCAGAAGCCTTGAAGTCAGCTTCTGAGCCTCGGGGACCCTGTAATTTCTTCCAAACTGAAGGAATATTATTGCCCAAGACCTTCAAAGGCTCTTGCAAAGGGGAACAGACCAAAAACAGGTAGAGAGAACAAACAAGGTGTGATTGGACACCAGTTGTGTAATGGCCTATTTGACCCTTTGGTTTTAAATAAGGCAAATTGGCTCCATTAACTCTTGCTGAAGATAATTTTCTTCTAATGTTTCCCAGGAACTCTGAAATGTTGTTCTCTGTGTACCACTGGGAACAGATGTCCCTTAGCAAGGAACACGTGGCTTTCTGATTTTCTATAAAAGCACCCCCCTCCCCCGATCAGCTTCACAAAAGCTTTGAGTTTTTCAGACATCCTACTTCAGGGCTGGCATGTCCTCCTTATCCCCAGTCTGGCATGAAAGTGGATGGGGAGCAGACTGGCCCCACAGTGTGTGGGGCAGAAAGTTCCATGGGTTCCTAGGCAGAAAACACTGCAGGTTGGGCCGTTGGTTCTCACTGTGTGAGAGCCTCTCTCAGCCACTTCTGACAGTAGCTTCTCCTCTCATCTTGGGTAGCAAGCATGCTCCCCTGGGGCTCCACTCCACCCACTTAAATAATACCTCCCTCGCCAGGGAATGAAATCAAACTTCCTCCTTGCTTGGTATTTATTTGGATTTTTCAGAGCACTCATTAAAGTGTTTTCCTAAGGCAATCTGCAGTAAAGATCCACCCTATCCCCAAACAGCAACTCCAGTGTGAACTCTCAATGGCTCAGAATTGTAGACTTCCAGAAGCTGCCCTGTTCATGTTCAGGACTTGTCACTTGAGGACAGGGGTGCAGTGAGGGCTCAGGGGTCACAGCATCTGCCTCTATACAGCAGAACAACCAGTTCAGCTGTGACCTCTGTAATCTTTCACCAGCCTCAACACTCCCTTCTCTGAATTCATCTGGCCTTTCCTTCCTATGTCTAGCATAACTCTCGCACTATAACACTTATTTGATATTGCCAATTTGTTGACACTGGTTTTTCTTCACCTTGCTTTGAGTCCCTCCATTCATTCTGAATATCTGGCCTGGCCTCTTACTTAGCCCACTCCAAGCCATCTGAAAAATGAATTCATTAATGAGAAGAGCTTTGCTCCACCATCTTCCCTGAGACTGTCCCTTCCCCCTGTTTACAGAATAAAGATTGCATTAAATGTCCCTCATAATTATGTACTTATATATGAATGCCAAGTGTTTCAAGACCGTAAACTACTTTATAAATGCCAAGTGCGATTATGTCTTTGAAACAATGGGACATATGGTTAGTGAGTGGAAAAAGATGAGACAAGGCCAGCAATTCTTCTTCCTAGTCCCTGTTTCTACCCACCCACCACCAGAGAGTAACTCAAAGGTGAGAACATGAAGCTGGAAAGGGAGAAGTCTTTCACTAAGGTCTGTAGGAATTCCAGGATATGTCCTTTATGATCTGCCATCATGAAAGATGGCACCCAAGTCTGAGAGTAGGAGCCTAGGCAAGGGCCTCTACATATAAATATGATTAGCATCTGGTTCGAGGTTGAAATGGAGGCTCAGATGAAAATCCTGCTTGTTCTTATTTATCAAGGACAGGAGAGCAAGTGAGAAGGGCAGTTAGCAGGAACAGTTCCTAACCTTTCTCCTGGGTGCTCTCTGTTACTGGTCTATGGAGGGAGGAGACACAGGGTGTGTCTTTTCCTTGTTTCTTCTTCCTCCAGAAGCACAAAAATTGTGAACAGAAAAACATGTGTGCTTTACAGTAAATTAACGTAATTATACCCTCCCTCGCCAACCTTGTTTCTGGAAAAGAGGGGAGCAATGTATTCTTCAGCTATCATGTTATGGGCTGCCAGAGGTGTTATGCTGTGTTATGAAGCCAGAGCTGATCACTAATTCAAATATTTCACATGGCCTCTGCTGTCCGTGGTACAACAGACCAGGGTCAATGATCACATTGTTGCAAGCTCATCATCATCTGGTCTCAGAGGTCAGGGCAGTGGAGGCCACAGGAAGCATAGTGATTTGCAGGGAGGATAGGCAACAGGGACTCTGACAGCTGGACTCTGTAGTTCCATCCCAGCACTGAGCTCAAAGGTGGTTGACATGACTTGTCTCGATGTGTCTGAAGATACCAACTAGGTAACGAAACAAAACAGGCCCTGTGTCTCCGATTAAAAACATTAAATGATCTGGGAGCCAAAGAGATATGCGGGTGGGCTGCTGGGACCACGTAGGGTGGTCACTTCACATCGTAGGCTTCCTGACAGCAGTTGAAGTACTGTGGCCTCGTGGTTTGGAATTTTTGCCAAATGGCTCCTGTTTGCCCCCAAGAGCTGGGAATATGGGATCAGATTCACCCTTTTCCCACTTTCCAGCTATAGCGCCACTGTCAGCCTTCTCAGAATGCTTAGTGCTTTGGCATGAGGAGCTGCTGAGGTGGCCCCATTACTCCCTCCTTGACGTCAGTCAGGGAGTTGTTCCCTGTGGCTGTCTTATGTGAAATAATTCAGCATTTGTACTTCAATTAAAATTCACAGGTATATATTATTAAATGGAACTGACTCATTCCATGGCTCCTCTTCAGCTGAACGAGTGCCAAAGAAATGTTACTTACGGGCTAATGATGAAAAGCCAGGAAAACGAAGAGTTCCTTGTAGTTGAAAGGTAGGTTGTGCATAAAGCGCTTCACATCCCAGGTGGCACTGTCCCATGTCACTCTCTTCTAAAGTTAAGTGGAAGACTGTCTCTGTCTTTGAGGGACAGGAAAAGGGATGCCCAGCCATCATCTTCATGCCTGACACAAACTTTGCTGGGCCCTAGGTATGTCTGGAATCAAGCTGAACTAGGGGCTGTGTTCAATGTATCTCAGGGGACAGAAGGAAAAGCATGTTGTCACACAGCTATTAGCAGGAAAAGAGAGGGAGTTTTCTTGATTCTGTAAAGTCAAACCTTCTTCTCTGTTAGCACATTAGATAGGCCTAGGGAGATGACAGAGGGAACAACATCCCTGACATTGCTTCTCCTCTCTCTGGGAACATCTTGCTTCTCCCTCAGGCCCTGTGCTGAGTCAAGGGACTGCCTACAGGCAGCCACTATGCTGCATTTGCTGCCCATCTTGTTTGTTTTGCTAAATTCACACCATATCCCATGCTCAGAAAACCCCTGGATTCCTCAGGTGTGAGCATGTTTAGTGTTTGAACCGCTTAACATGATAGTAAGATGAAAAACAAAAGCCTTGTGAAGTTTAAAACTTTTACAAAGGAAGGGACAAATGGTCCCCAAGTCCCTTTGCTGCTTAGGCTGTCTTGAGCACGAGTCCTTCTGTGTAAACTAGAAAAAGGTGAGCCTGCTGGAAGGGTTCAGACCTGCAGAGCTATGGATGAGTGAGCAAATCCCATATTTGGCCAACAAGAAATAGGTACCAGTTCTCTGGGTAAAGGAAGACCTACACCCAGATTCCAGCCCCTATGCATGAGACATTCTTGCATCCCCCATTCTAACAGCCCCAGCTTTAGTCTAGTCCTGTCTGCTATAATTCACTCATCACCGGATCATATCTGAGCCTCAGTCTTTGCCCACAGAAAAAGAAGGAATTGAATTTTAATTTCTATGGCTTTCTTCAACTCTCAAAACAGCAAAAATTCGAGTGGAATTTTCCACTTCTTTGCAAACAGGACTAAGTAACGTATGGACTCAGATTTCTGAGTTTGGCTGTCTTAAGTCATCTGATGGCACTCCCTAAATATTTGAATGAAATTATGCATGGTTTGATGTGGAGCAGATTAAAAAAATGAATGCCTCAGTATATCCTCGATGTTCCAGGCGTAAAGCAACACGGCCAACCAGCAGAACGGGAACAACCACTGCCTGCTGTCAGCGTGGCACAGATGAGATCTCACACAAGAGCGGTGTCTATGGAGCCCTTTACCCATTTCTTACAGGCTGAATGGCACACCCCATGCTGAAGCTGCTGCCTCTCCCTGGCCATCAGCGCACCCAGGAAACATGAACCATGAGGAGCCAACGACTGATTTCTTTGTTGACGTCTTGTTACCAGAAAACAGAAATTAGGTCCTTGCCCAGATCTGCCCCTCTTCGAGTCTCAGTGCCAGCAAGTGCTTTGCAGTGGAGAGCAAACAAGTAATAATCAACTTCTTCCCATCTCAGGGACTGGTAACCTAAAGTTAGGTTTAAAGTTTCATAATTGCATACACCTGCAGTGACCTCATTCACTACTCTCAGATGTTAGCAGAAATGTTTACTCGAATTTGTTAATTTTTCTAAAATCAATTATGCTATTGGTTTGTATCTTGAGCAAGGCATAGGGTTTTAGAAACAATTATAATTATTTATGCCATTTTCAGAAAAGGAAACTGGAGCCCCCCAAAAAGGAAGAGTGTCTCTAGGTCACTTGGGAATCATATGCTATTTCTGTTCTTCCACAGCAGAGAAGCAACCAGAATTTGGCAGGGAAAGGCTGATAGCACACAGCCCTGCAGTTGAATTTCTCAGTTTCAGAAAACAAATGTTCTTAGCACTAACCAGATCACAGAAAGTGAACCTTACCTTTACTAGTGCAGCCTGCACTAGTACCTCCCTTTGGCTAGACTTGCCAAAGGTTCCCAGAGGCTAGGGTAAGACCTAAGGCCAAGCACTGCCTTTGTGGTGAACCCCTAAGTCTTCAAGTTCTCTGGGTTAACATTAACTTGCTAGCCAGTTCTGTTTCTTCCAAAGCAAGCAGTCTACTTTTCTTGCGGCCCACTGTCTGCCGGCAAAATTGTCATGGCCCACTGCTCCCATGTTATCCTGGATCGTTACAAACTACAATCGAGAGGTAAGATGGACATTTGTGAGAAGACACATGCTGTAACACGGCTCCCTTTATTAAACAACTCAGACACAGCTTGCCTCTGAAAACTGACAGCAGTTCTGGCAAGAGGCTGCCCAACAGAGGCAGACGAGGAGCAGCCTGGTAGAAGGGTTTCCGTGTTTTCGCCAGCAGCAACCCCTCTGCAGCAGCTGAGCAATAGCACCTGAGGCAGGGGGAATCAAAGGTGTTCTTCAGCATCACTGGGAGAACCTGTGCTGCTGGAACCTCTGTGTGACTGTTTTAGGACAACTCGGAAGCTGCCCCTTACAGAGCTTTGGAAGGGAATCAAAACTTCTGTTGAAAATACCAGTCCTTGCCTGGCAGCAGTGGCGTGAGCCTTTAATCCCAGCACTTGGGAGGCAGAGGCAAAAGGTTCTTTGAGAGTTTGAGGCCATCCTGGTCTACATAGGGAGTTCCAGGATAGCCAGGGCTACAGAGAAACCCTGTCTTGAAAAACTAAACAGAAAGAAAAAAAGGAGGGAACGAACGAATGAAGGAAGGAAGGAAAAGAAAGGAAGAAAGGAAATAGCAGTCCTCATAGTCCATGAAGGCCCTGGCTAGGGAGCCCTGTGTCACAGTCCTTATCCCTTCCAGTGGTGGCTTCTTCAAGTCTGAAAGATGCTGCTGCTTGTGATTCTGGGGGCCATGCAGACGCTGTCTGGGGCTCCTCAGACCCAAGTCAAGCTTACTGTGAAGAGGCTGTACTCTCAGCCATCAGCACCATGACAGGCCACAGGGAAAGGCAGCAAGCCAGAGGCCTGAGACTAATTCACATAATAACTTTAGCCCTGGGCACACTTTAGCTGTGGGGATGCTGAGAAGCAGCCTATTGTGTTGAGATTCTGAATGTGCAACAAATTGTTTGTGTATGTGTATAGGAGTTTGTGTGTGTGTGTGTGTGTGTGTGTGTGTGTGTGTGTGTGTGAGAGAGAGAGAGAGAGAGAGAGAGAGAGAGAGAGAGAGAGAGAGATTCTAACTAGGAGGTCTATGCATTTGGCTGTGTTTGGTATATGGATCTGTGTCATGTTTGGGAATTTGTGTGGCATGTGAGTGGCTTATGTGTATTTCTGTAGTATATCTGTGTTGTATGTTTACCTGTGTGGCTGTGTGGCACGCAGAGTGTGTGTGCTGTATGTTTGGAGATGTGACTGGGTTCTGAATGATGAATGGAAGAAAACCAAGGACACGAGGAAAGCAAAGAGAGCAGAGTTAGGAACAGAAGGGGGAATCTGGCGACTCATAGTATTCTGTTAATTTATACCCTGGTTCTGTACAAAAATAAAAAGGTTCTTATAAGATTAACAATTTAAATAAATACTCCATAGATCACTCTCTTTCCTATAGCTCATCTCTGGGGTTAATATTCAGTCCATGCTTCCCATGCTGCTCTTGATCCAAGATGGCAATCACTTCATCAGCCTGTATCCGCTCCTGTAAAAAAGACAATTGACACATTTCTGGTATAAACGCAATAATCAGGCCCACAGCAGATGCTTCCCCAACACTTCCAGCCAGCCATCTGTGCACAGTCAGGGAAAGCCTACTTCATCCAAACTAACGCACTCTCCATACATCCCCATGTCCTACACAATTACCTTCCGGGCTGGCTCCTGATGAACCCTCATCCAATGACTGGCTTTCTACCCTTTCTGTCTCAGGGACCCACTATCGTCTCCTGCTGAACTCAGTGTTTAGATTGAGCTCGCCATTTTCTCCCCTCGGACCTATCATACTCTTCTACAAGACTTTTATGTCTCAGACAAGGCTATTGTGACTCCCCTTTTGCCTGAAAACCCTGGTCCTGGTCGCCTGCATTTGATACACTTCTTGGCCCTGACTATATTGTGTCCTGTTTCTGCCCCTATCTCTTCATGGAGCTGACTGTTGGCTTGATTTAGGCCAGAGTTTCTCAGTCATAGCATTACTTGCATTTTAGTTGTGTGTGTGTGTGTGTGTGTGTGTGTGTGTGTGGTGTGTGTATGTATGTATGTATGTATGTATGTATGTATGTATGTGTGTAGGATTTTCCTGTGTACTGCAGATGTTAACATTCCTGTTATACAACATGTCCCCACATAGTGAGAACTAAGAATGTGTCTAGATCCTGTGAAATGTCCCCTAAATAGCTAAGCACTACATCTTAAGAGCAACTTGTTTCTATCTTTCTCAGTAAGTGCTCTAGAATAAGTGCTCTAGAATATTTCAAACAAGTTTCACTCCTCATTCAGGTTCCTAGTGGATATTCTCCCTCAAGGCAAACTTCAACACAGTCCTATGTGAGGCTCACAACTCCAGTTGGTTGCAGGCTGTTTTTTCTTGGTGGGCTGTCCACTCCTTTCAGTCTTCTGCAGTTACACTGTGCCCTGCCTCTCTGCTCACTATACCACAACTCTAGATTACCTCACTGTCTCTGAGTGTTCATTCTCAAAACAGTTACCCAGCTCTAATCTGGGCAAAACACTCCCCTGGATGCTCCCAGTATAGCCTGTATTTCCTTTACTCCATGGTACAGTGTGGGGCCAGTGGGTCTTCCTCTAAACTTCACAGGCAAACTTCCACATCATTCACCCGTGTTATTTATCTAATCTAAGCCCACATGTTGGCTGAAGTCATCTTTTCTTTCCAGTCATTCCTTGGAGAGTAGAGAGTGGGTGCAATGGCTTCTTAGCAGCTAGAACAAAATCCACGTGCTTGAATATGAAATATAGAACGAGGTCCCTGCCTCCTTTATATCCTCACATCCATGTGACTCTTATCTTCCATAAAACCTTCTGTTCTAGCTGCTGTGCCCTTATTTCTATTTCGTGGGCTGTGTTTTTGTTTGTTTTCTTGGTGCTAGGAATTGGACCCAGGAGCTCGCACATGCGAGGTGTGCGCTCTGAGACAGAGCTTCCCCTCAGCCCATTTTTGTTTCTTGACTACTCTTCTCCAGACCTCCTCTTCTCTCTGGCCTTTTGCAAGTTGTCCTCTGCCTGGACTACTTCTCCCTGTGTGTTCCTTTTTGTTGGCTCATCCTATGACTCAGGTTGTAATTTACATATCACGTGTTTGGAAACACCTCATAGTTGGTCTACCATTTACTGTTAAGTCAGTTGTTTTATCCTGCTTTCAACATGTCACTTATTGCTGTTGGGGGAAAAAAATCTTCCGATCATTTGCTTTTTAAAATTTCCTTTGCTTATTTGTTGTCTCTTTTCTTCTTTTAGAATGGAGGTCCAGGAGAGTGGAGACTCTAGATCACTGATGTCTTGTCAAGGGCTCTATTATCTTAAAGAACTATTTATGTGGATGAATGACTAAAATACATCTCCCTAGAGAAGACCATCTTATGAAGTTTATTTCCAACACTCAGGAAATTAAGCCTTTCCTAAGTGACTCTTTATGTCCCCAAATCATCATTTGCTGTAGACAATTCTTCCACACCTTATCTAGTATTTTTGTTTTTAAAGATTTATTATTTATTATGTGTACAGTGCTCTGCCTGTGTGTATGCCTGCAGGCCAGAAGAGGGCACCAGATCTCATTACAAGTGGTTGTGAGCCACCATATAGTAGCTGGGAATTGAACTCATGTCCTCTAGAAGAGCAGTCAGTGCTTCTAACCTCTGAGCCATCCCTCCAGCTCCAAATATTTTCTAAAATTTTTTTATTAATTTATTTATTTGGCTTTTTGTTTGTTTGTTTTTATTTTCAAGACAGGATTTCTCTATGTAATTTTGAAGCCTGTCATGAAATTTGCTCTGTAGATCTGGCCTTGGACTCACAGAGATCTGCCTGCCTCTGCATCCTGAATGCTGGGATTAAAGGTGTGCACCACCACTGTCCAGCTTGCCTAGTGTTTTAATAACTTGAGTCCCTGTTATTTTCTTCCTGGTTTGACATTGAGTTCCATGAAAGTTATGGTTATGCCCCATTGAGTTTCTGTCCCCCAATGGCAGTCCCTAGTCCAGTTTCCAGATATCTGATTTGAAAACAAAGCTGTTTCCATGAAGGAGCTCATCGTTAATAATGCAGTCACACAGGACAACTAAAAGGCGCAAACACACTAACAGAAAACTACAGTTACATCTGAAAACACAGTGCTTAGCAAACTGACACACACTCAAAGTTCTCACATTTCATGGGCACAAGAAGTGATCAGCATATGCTTCTCATAAAGGGAAAGGGACCCAAGTGCTGGGACGGATTCTACAAGGCATCTGACACTTCACATGTGTATATTATTGAATACTTCCTGATGAGCAGGAGCATTATTTGTTTGTTTGTTTCTTGAGACAGGGTTTCTCTGTGTAGCCTTTGCTTTCCTGGAACTCACTCTGTAGACTAGGTTGGCCTCAAATTTACAGATCCACCTGCCTCTGCCTCCTGAGTGCACCACCACCACCACTAAGTCCGGGTTTAAACCAGAGATTCCCAAACATTGTTACATATTAGAACTGTCTGGGGAGTTTTAGCCTGCTGGTACTGATATAGCTCCCTACATAATTAGATCTGAATATCTGAAGGTAGGAATCAGACATTAGTGATTCCTGAGACTCACAGCAGAGGAGAAAATGTTGCTTTAGCAGCACCAAGAGGCTCTTGCCATTTCCTACAGAGGCCACTAGATGCCGCTACAGCCTGAAGCATGGAGCAGTTTCTTAGTACTTTTCCAAGAGGCATTAACGCTGGTGTAGGATGGAGCAGAGAACTTGGCTTGCATTAATGATTTCAATAAAATGCTACAATGCATTGTGCGGGTCTGATGGAAATAAAATGATACCAAATCAATACTAAAAACAGGGGGCTGATTTCTCCATAATTTGTTGTTTGAACCTTGAGATAGGGGAGTGGTGCTGGCATTTTGTAGATTAAAAACTCAAGGAAAGGGTGAAGGAGGTGAGGGTGAAGGAGGCTGCTGAGGACCCCAGGAAGTTTTCCAGGCTCTGCTAGGTTTTCTCCATCAGCACCATCCTTGCCTTACTGTGCCAGGCTGTCATCATCTTTGTGTCTGAGATAATGCAAGCTGTCCTTACTGTCCCACTTGAGACGCTCCGGTTACATACTCCTTCCCCAGCTGCCAGACCTCCCTGCTCTTGTAATTGGAGATTCTTGTGTTCACCTCTGCACACAAAGCCCTACCAAGGCAGCAAATAAGTACTTTGAGGGTGTGGACAAAAAGAAAGAGCATTTCTGAAAAGGGGGGCTATTTCTAAACTGCTGCTGCTGAAACTGCATTCAGTTTCCAAATTTAAAGGGACAAATATGGCATCATTTTAAGACTAGAATTTCAGAGACTGGGAGATGACCCTGGCTCAGATACTTAGGGCTCTTGCAGAGGACTGGTGTTTAGTTCTCAGCTGCCATGTCTGGTGGCTCACTTTTACTCCAGGAGTTAAGTGTCCTCATCAGAACTTACACATGCACACACTCACACACAAACACACAATCAAAAACTAAGTAAATCCTTAACTGGGTTTAGCACACACCTTTAATTCCTGCACTTGGGAGGCAGAGGTTGGAGGATCTCTGTGAGTTCAAAGCCAGCCTGATCTACAAAGGGAATTCCAGAACATCCAGTTCTACAATGAAAGATCCTGCAAGAGAACAATCTTCAAAGGGGAAAAGTAGAATTTCATCTCTCCATCCACACACATTCAGGTCTTAAGTAGACCTTGAAGCTATCAAGAAGACTTTTGCTGTTGGCTTCAGGTACACCTCCTTTAGTTAGCACTGCAATCGATCTCATGACCTTGGGTGGAGATCTGATCACTCTGCAAACTGACAACCCCACTGAACCTAGGTGAGGACTTGGAAGTTACTCCCTAAAACAAACTTGACTATTTTTTCCCAGGAGTTTCTACTCTGTCTGCTGGCCTGACCTGCAGGCCTCTTTACAGATGGGAACAGTAAGTGCCCCAACCATATTATATTATGGACCGATATAATATTCTTTTAACATTCAACTCAATAAAGTAACAAATATTAAATTTCATCCAGGTCCCACACAAGTTTAAGAAACTAGTCAGTGATGTTTTGATGATTTTCTATCCTTTCTAGTAAAAGTCCTTGGCTGCCTATGGTACGGGCTCGATACTCAACATTTGTGGTGACAGCTAGGGTGCCTAATGGATCTATTTCTGCAAATGTCTTCATGGTTAGAACTCAACTGGGTAAGAGCTGCCTTCACAGTCCCTCTCCTTTTCCTCAGATGTCACTGTAGATGTCACTAGAGACTCAATCCCTGTTTTCCCCAGATATCACTGCAGAAGTCACTTCAGGTTCAACCCCCTTCCTTCTCCTCAGATATCACTGCAGAAGTCACCCCAGGCAAAGGATTTTTCAGAGAGGTCGGTCCAGGGAGCAGGGCTGCCTTTTGAGCAGCTTCGAACTCACCACTTCTCTGTAAAGAGGATCTAGGGTGAACCACAGTGCCACAGCACAGCGCTGGCCTCTGGTGACCGCCTTCACCCCATGAGGGTTCTCGCCACCAGATGAGAAGCTGATCATCCGCCCACACTTTGGTTTAATGGAGGCCTGGCAACAAAATGAAAACCAGGTTTTCAATACCTACACCATGCGTCCTTTTGTCATTCCTTCTGTACGATGATGACATATTTGTGTTAAATTTTTGAAACAATGAATGATGAGATCTTATGTTGAAAAAAACATAAATTGGCTTATTTTTTACCTGCAAAATATAAATCGTTTCAATATAATTTACTTATATAGAGAGCCACTTAAGCAACATGTGTGGCACATCTCATCACATAGGAATCACATGGCATGTACACTGGTGATAACATGACCATTCAAGAACACACACCTGCCACGTTAATGCACTCCTATAGCCTATGGTACTATCAGTTCATTGGTTCTTAAGGTGGGTGTGCATTTTAACATCTGTGAAATTAGAAGGAAACCAGAAAATGAGGGGTACCAGAGAACTGTTACTATTGCCCTAGACCACAGTTACATGTTTGTACACCCTCCTAATTCTCCAAGTGTACACCTATGGTTTATGCAGTTGTAGCAATATGAAGATTTGAATTCATTTCTTTTACGTTATTCCTGTGCAAGGGTCATAAAGGTATTACTTGGCTACCTCCAGTGATGAGAACACACCAGCCCTTGGGGTGACCAACTTATGGCTCTAGCGATTTGAAATGACTGATGCCATAATTCCAAATTTTCACACTGTTAAGCTGTCCACTGACTTTTGGCAGGACGGTATAGTGAAACAACACACTGATGAGGGTACTGGGCTGCAGTGAAAAATAGACAAGAGGTTCTTCAGGCTGAGCAAGTGTAGGCAATTGGGTGTTAGAGGCCGTGGTCCTCTGTCTTAAAGGGTGTGTTGAGAGATTATAGAACATTTTGTATCCTTTAGGAAACAATGAAAGCATATTTATCCCATTGAGCCTGGACAAGTCCAACCAATGCACAATAGCAGCCCTGGCTATTGTGTGTGTGGGAACATGAGAGCATTCTACAGCTGTGAGACCCTTTCTTTCTAACCTTCTCCGGAACATATTTGAATTTTTTTAAAAAAGTTCTTGGATGCTACATAGATTTACTCTGGTGCTGTGGTTATGTGTATGTGTAGGAAGCCAGAAGTAGGCAAAATTGAAATTGAGATGCCCCCTCCTCTGTGTGTGCGTGCATGTTTGTGTGTGTGTGTGGGGGGGTCATGCACATGTGTGCAGTTGTCCCTGGAGGCATGCATCCTCTGTAGCTGGTGTTATAGGAAGTTGTGAGCCACCTGGGAACCATACTCTGTGTCCTTCAGTATCCAGTGTGGAAATTTTAAAAAAAGGAAACCAGCTCTCAGGAGGCAGAGACAAGTGGATTGCAGTGAGTTAGAGACCAACCTGACCTACAAGAGCTAGTTCCAGGACAGTCTCCAAAGCCACAGAGAAACCCTGTCTTAAAAAACAAAACAAAACGAAAGAAAGAAAGAAAGAAAGAAAGAAAGAAAGAAAGAAAGGAGGGAAATGGGAATTCTTCATTTTTAAGAATTCCTACCTGATTAATTATCTACAAAAGCCCTAAAAGTCTGCTATATGAACAAACATGAAGTGCTATTGCACTTTTCCACCAAAAGCTTACCATCTTTTCATTCAGTTTTTTGGGGTAAGTAGATTATGGGTTTTGTGGGATGCCTCAGTAATTAGAACTGTAGAACTGTGAAATGAGAATCACCTCTGCTTTCACACACAGAAGCAGCAGGATAGCCCTTAACTTAGACTCAACAAAGAATGGGACTGAGCTATATAGTACACCAGCCCTGGCACCATCAATCATTGGGCACTTCCAAATACGGCCACTAGATGGAGTAGAGGCAAAGGAATCGTCACCATCTGATTTTTTTTTTTTTTTCTTTCAAAATATTTAAGAAGTGGACATTTTTCTTCTTCAGTTTCCATGTTTTCAAAGCTTGGAAATAAAATGTTTTCCGCATGCAGTTCTTCTAAAAGTGAGAATCCTTTAGAGGTATTTAAACTCCAGTCCAGTTCATTAATCTTGGTTTATTTTTTCCCAGGTAGGAAACGCCAAACCACTGACTTCTTTTTCTTTTCAAACAAAAAAACGAGGCAACATGTTGGTTTAAACATACACCACTGAACACAATTTCATGACCTATTTTAATTTATAACCATGTTTCAGTGTACTATCCCCACAATCCTCAGTTAAGCCAATGATATTTAGCTTGGGATACATATGTGGTGTTCCCTGAACGACCATGCATATTTTGCTATGGAAAAAAAAAATGTGCAAGCAAAGATTGAATGTACAAACATGGGGAGAGTTTTGGAATTGCTTACATAATGCCAACACTTTGAAGTTCATCATTTTCACGTCCAGACTACTCTTAGATTTTTCAGGAAGAAAGATGTCTCATAATCAATTTATAATTCTTAAGTTCTTCATTTGAAATTTAGTGTTCTCAAGGTGTGTTTGATCTTCGTCTTAAAGATCAAACGAATCTAACTATAAGGACTGTAAGTGATAAGGAGGTTGCGGTATGAAGGCATCAGCGTGCTTATAAGTAAAATGGTTGGCTGTGACTTTTGAGTTAAATATTTGTGAGTGTAAATACCCATTTGGGGGTGAAATTTAATGGCTTGCACTTAATTATATATACCAGTTTGTATGCACACATATGGAATTGTATGCACAATTCACTCTCAATCTAAGCATACTGGCTACTTGAAGCCATCGACTTGTCCTAGACCTAAGTGCCTTAGGAACCGATGCTTGAAAGTTCACATCAGAGCATCTGACAGAGACTCAGAACCTAAGCCGGTGGTTCTCAACCTGTAGGGCACAACCCCTTTGGTGGTCACAGATCAGATATTGCATTATGATTCATAACAGTAGCAAAATTATAGTCATGAGTAGCAAGGAAATAATTGTATTTGGGGGTTACCACACATGAGGAATTGTCCGTAGAGATCACGGTGTTTGGAAAGTGAGAAGCACTGCTCTAGGCTTTGGTTACAACTCTAACATTATTTATATGATTGTGATCAAATCCTTAAAAATTCCTCTATCTCAATTTGCTCGTCTTTAAAATGGACTAAAATGGTCACATATGCTTAATATTTTTATTATTTATAGATCACCAGGATCCTCTTTTCTTCCTGAATTCTTAAGCTCAGAAGTATCTGAAATTCAACAACCTGCAGGATGTTGGGAAGATGGTAAATATTGAAGTCAAAGTCCTAAATAAGTTTTTAGGCAGCGGCTTACTCACGGTCACAGTTTTAGCGTCTATTTCAGTGAAGATGAACTCTCCTCCTTCAAAGTCGTCATTCATATACAGGAGTGCACTATAAGGAAAGGGGGAATCCATTAAATGACAATATATTCCTCATCGGCAACACTGTAAAACATTGCAGACTAGTGACAAATGGACGGTAAGTTGTCTTTGACACTGACCCACCAAACCCTTGAAATTAAGCTCAGGGATAGCCAAGGTTAAGTTCCTGATGTTTATTGATTCCATTTACATGTGGCCTTAGTCTTAATTCAAACTCACTTTACATTGTAAACACCCAAGCAGGCTTTATTTCATATAGCCCTCTAAGCTCATCCACACTGCTTATAACGCTCTTCCTCCTGCATAGAGAAGTTCCTCAGAGGATGGAGTTTTCCTTCCTTAGCTTAGTTAATGCATTGCTTGTGATCTAGCCTGGCCATGCAGATAAAGGCTGCTCTCTAAATGTTTTGAATCAAATACAACATAGCAACAACTGACGTGTTATTAAATATGCATAGTGACTATACACAAAGATATGCTGTTGCATGCTAGGCTATCTTCTCTTGATGTACTAACATATCTCCTCATACTATACAACAGTATTCCCTTTTGAGTTTCTATTTTCCTCATGGGAAAATGCAGACATAGTTCTTGGAGAATGGGAATAATACGTGTGTGTGTGTGTGTGTGTGTGTGTGTGTGTGTGTGTGTGTGATAAGGTGCTATGTATGTTGGGAGACCATGCCCATATGCTCTCAGAGTGAGAAACACATGCAAAGTGAGATACATGTCTTCATGAAACACACTTGTCTGTAAATCGAGTTGTCTACTTCATGCTGTTTAAGATAAAAGTGAGAAGGCTCATTCTCGAGCCTTGGCTCCTGTTCCAGATGACTCTTAGGGATCTCAACTTCACAGAGATGAAAAAAGTAGCAAAGCAAAGCAGCTTCCGCTTTCCACAAAAGCTTGACTAGAAGCCACCCTACCTATAGTCCCGGAAAGTGTAAGCAGGAGGCTCCTTCCAGCATTCATTAGCTTCGGGATCCAACAGGCAGTTGTCTGCATGAATGGGATGACTGAGGTCGTTTCTTCTATCCTGCTGCCCTGCCAGAAGAAGGAACAAAGACGAGAACAGGATGAGCAAATGAGAGCAGAAGAGGCCAGGGTGCAACATCTAAAGTCACACTTTAACCATCTTCTTCAGTCCTTTGCAAAGCTAGACAGAGAGAAGGCAGTGAGTGCGGTGATAGAAAGAACACCAGTCAAGAAACTCCTGTGGTTGAACATAAACTGGATTTGAAATTTTGGCCAAGCTACACCTGTCTTTTCAGGTATAATGGATGAAATGCATACACCTGGGGAAATCCCATGCATTTTACAGGTTGAGTCTCATGTGTGGTAGCAAAAGCCCTCAGAATAAATGGAGAGGGAAACTAAAGGTTTTGACTCACTCTCCACAAGTCTTAAGTGCTCTAACACAGATTTCTTCCCACCCCCATTCGGATGAGTGGAAGAGAAAACCAAAAAATGACAGTAATCAGCAGTAAGGGGTGCTTGCCTCTCAGAATGCTCTTTAGTGAGCCCCTCATTGTCTGCACCTCCACTCTCTGCTTACAGACATAACTGTACTTTCCAGCCATCTGGGTCACTGAGACACAGAACAGAAAAGCATTCTTTTCCCCACATGTCCTAGCAATTATGAGAAAGGGATTTGAAGACAGAAAATTTACAGAATGAACATCTAACAAGAGTCAAAAGGGGAAAAAAAGAAAAAAGTAAGTGCCTATTGTTTTAGAAGTCTGGCGTTCTCATACATTATCACTGCAGAACATAACAGAGCTTTGCTGTGGACTGTTTTCTTTCCTGGGGCATTCTGGGAAGAAGGAGACAAGTTCAGGGTCTGGAAACCTACCAGACAGGGCTGTTCTGCAGACCATGTGTGTATAGAAAAAATACAGGGTTGAGTTCAGCATGAAATAGGATTCCACAATCTTCCGAGCTTTCTCGCTGATGTCATAGAACAAGCGTGCACTCTTTAGTGGCACTCGGCCTTCATAGCCAAACTGAGAAGAAAAAAACAAAACAAAACAAAGTAAAACACTGAGGACATTAGAGACCATGGGGTTGACTGAAGGGCTGGAGACAAACAAGTTCTAGGTTTCATGAAGAGAATAGAGACTGGCTATCTCTGCACTAACTAAAAGGAATATCAAATACTGCGTGTTTGCAGGTTCACATAGAATGGTGAGCCACTGAAACAACTCCTCCAATGGCAGAGGGAAGGTCAAAAGCTAATTGCTGTCTCCCCCCTCTCTTATAATATATTCTTTACTCTCCTCTTATAATACTTCTTGAGAAGAGAAGAATTTCTGATTTGGGAATGTTTTTATCACTAGCTTTCGAGCTCCTTGAGGATACTGGTTGCAAAGTTTTTGGTGAGATAACAAGCTTGGAAACCATGAAGCTTGGTAAATGGGTGCCAGAATGAGGGGATCACCAGAAACAGCAAAGTGGCTAGGGGTGTGGTTCCGAGGCAGAGTGTGTACTGACAATGTCCCCTTAACACAAATGACAAAACAACCAACCGAGTCTCCATTTCCCAGATGCTCCCTTCTGAACTCTTCTTCCTGAGTCTGCCCTTCACAAAGGTCTCCCCACCCCACCCTTGCCCCACCATCCCCTAGGAACCCAAACTTAAAGGAAGCAAAGGATTTACTTTTAGTGCTTTCAAGACAGTTGCTCCTTCAAACTTTTCATTGGGTGTATGGGGCGATGTTTTCCCTCGGTATCCATCACCAACCAGCATGATTCCCTGAGGACAAAATGTATTCAAACACTCTTTTACTGACAAGCAGCAATGCACCAGGGTTTCCTTTCTGCTTTGTCTTCCAGAAGCTGAGAAGCCAAATCAACGGTCAGCACCATTTAACTGCAGGGTTCATGTGTAACTAATTCTAACTAGTAGGGGTATTTTTTTCTTTATCTTCATTATAAAATACTACTACTACTACTTATTATTATTATTACTATTATTACTATTTGTTTTACGAGACAGGGTTTCTCTGTGTTGTTTTGGAGTCTGTCCTAGAACTCGCTCTGTAGACCAGGCTGGCTTCGAACTCACAGAGATCTGCCTGCCTCTGCCTCCCGAGTGCTGAGAGTAAAGGCATGCACCAACAACGCCCGGCTAAAAATACTACTTTTTAAAAATAGACATTTAATACAAATTGTTCATATATAGACTAATCACTGGTTAGAATAGTGGGATTTCTCCAGTGACTTCTATGGGAGGCAGGGAAGCTGCTGGATGACTACTGTGTTAAGAGCTAAGTCATGGAAGTTTCAGATCATTCCAACCTAAAAGCTATGAACACACATCCATGGTTAATGTCTTCCACCTAAGTAAGTGAAATTCTAGTTCCCTAATGCTGCCTTCCAGGCTCAGGACACTCTGGGACAGGGGCTGCCCTCCTCCAAGACACTGCCCTTAAGGCTGAAGACAGACAGAGTGGCAAAGGGGCTTTTGTCCTCTACACCATTGTCTGCAGGCTCAAGTTGGGCTAGCATGGAGGGCTCCCCTTCCCAGTGCTCACACTGGCCACACTGTGTAGCTCCCGGCACTGCTCTTCCGATAGGACGTTGTCTAGGAGAACCCGCTGAGTCCCGTTCAGTTGTTCTGAGTTGTAGACGAAGGTGATGTTCTCATAGAGTAGAGGGCCACCTAAAGGGAGAAAGCAGAATGTCTTCACTGCTGCTTCCACAACTCTAAAAGGATGCACAGAAAACAGTCTGCAATAGATAGCTCAAGGGATGCAGAATCCACAGGAACACAGGAGTACAAGGCAAATCATGCACAGAAAGCTAAATACATTTTAGGTCTCAAACCTGGGAATAAACTGCTAACTGAGGTGCCTATTAACATGGCAAAGTGGACCCTGTAAGCAAGTCTCTCAGCCTAACCAGTACCTGGCATATCCCATCCTGAAGTGTAAGTGATTTGGCTCTATTTTCTACATTGATGTTTCATGTAACTTAATACCAAAAATCATGATACAGAAGGAGAGCAAGAATCTGAAAAAAACTGCAGCCAAGTCAACAATATTAATGAAAAAGTTTGATATTATTTTGCTTAAAATACAATACCAGATTCTACATGAACATCTCCTGAATGACAGGGACAAAGTTCTTTAAGGCTAGCATACCTTGCAGTATTTTGTTATCCAGTGCTGGGTTTTTATCACAAATTTTTATATTGGAACTACTTTGAAATCTTGGTGAATCTGCTAAATTTTAGTTTAATCTGGCCTCACTGCACTATTTATAAACCTACCAACTTGATTTATTATTAATATTAAAACATCCAATCAAGCAATCAGTGGAAATTGACCTTGTGCCCCATCAAGATACATATCTAAGGCAGAACTCAGCAAAAAGGTGGTTATTCAGCTGTCTTAGTCATCACTTACCTTAATTTTTAAAAATTATTATCAAGACTTAGAAATGTAGAATTTTTTGGATTCTAAGACAATAAATCCAGGCCTGGAGAGATGGCTCAGGGGTTAAGAGCACTGACTGTTCTTCCAGAGGTCCTGAGTTCAATTCCCAGCAACCACATGGTGGCTCACAGCCACCTTGAATGAGATCTGGTGCCCTCTACTGGCATGCAGGCAGAAGACTGTATACATAATAAATAAATGAACAAAATCTTAAAAAAGACAATAAATCCATAGAGCCCTGGTTTCCAGTACCACATCTTTTGGACAAGTAGAAAAATAAGTTGTTTGCTTTTACAATTTGATGTTTCTTAAAACTTGTTGTCTTAAAGTTTTTGAAAAATACTGAATTGGATAGAATCTATAGCCCACTTGAAACTTGAAGTGTGTGAGTAGGCTTTATGAGTTTCCCAGACAGTTATATACTATGTAGTAGTTTTCAGATTTATGTCACCACAACTCCTTCCCTCTATACTCCTGTTTTCCTCTATGCTCCTCCCCTCTCCCCTCTCTTTTCCTTCCTGTGACAAACTCTAAGACAGTCCTCTCTTCTTTCTAGTTTCTTACCCTTGTGTAATCTTCCCTCTGCAAGTGAGAAGTTGGCTTGGTAATTGTTTCTGATTCACAGAATACAATGAAGGAGATGGAGATGGGAGGTCACCGGAGACTGTGACTTCTCCCTGGCTCACTGGCCCAGTTCACTGTTATCTCAGCTTGTGTGCTTTGATTATGCAAGTGGCTCTGTTACTACTGATTTAGCAAGGAACAGAGGGCATCCTCTGGCTGAGAAGCAGCCAGAACTGCACAGCCTTAGCCCATCAGTTCTCTAGAACCTGAGTTCTGCCGTCTGAACTGGAAGTATTTCCCAGCTTTGCTGGCTAGTTTTATGCCAACTTGACATAAAGTTACAGTCATTTTGGAAAACGTGAACCTCAATTGAGAAAATGCTCCCACCAGATTGGCCTATGCGCAAACCTTAGTGCACTTTTCATGACTGATGATTGGTGTGGGACAGTCCAGCTCACTGTGGACATGCTAAAACGGGATGGTGGTCTTGGTTGCTGTAAGAGAGCAGTCAGAGTAAGCCATGGCGAGCAAGCCAGGAGGCAACACTCTTCCATGGCTTCTGATTCCATTTCTGTCCGGGTTCCTGCCCTGCTGTGGGAGGCATGGAGGTCACTGTGCTCATAAATAAGAACTGGAGGGACCTGGAAAGTTAAACACACAGGCCTGTTCCTTCAAAGCAGGCAATGAATAACCTGTCATCTGTTCAGAAGGCTGGCATCGGGCATGGTTGAAAACATGGTGACCTTTGCATTATTGTGTGGTGGGAGAAGACTACAGACCCTCCCTCAGAAGCATATCACAAGCTTTTTCCCCCTCAGTCTGTAGAAACTCTCTTTATAGTCATTGTTACATATAGTCAACCTATAGAATCCATCTTTATGGAAGGTGCTAGTTGTATTTTACAAAGCGTTTCAATGCATCACATCTGAGCTTTGTTTATCTTACTCTGTTCTTCAAGGAGATTTCTGTATACTTTATTGTGCACACGGGATTGAGTTAATTATCGCCAGAAACATTTTCACCAAATTGTGCTGTGCTTAAATATACCTAAAATAAACTACATGGGGGTCAGGCTACCAAAGTTTGAATGAGCACCTGCTCTTGGTTGTGTTGAACTGAACTGCCTTCTTGCCTCCTGTGGGCCATTATCCTACTGGCATGGTGGTCACAGAAATCCCCAAACTCTGACTGAGTCAATGCCCCATGACGGATGGTGATGTGGAACTACAAGATGAAATAATAAACCTGGTTCTCCACAAGTTGCCTTTAGCCGTGATGTTTTATCACAGCAACAGAGACCCCAAGTAAGATATCAGTCAAGCCTCCGCCTAGATGTTGGGATAAGCTTTGTGGGAGAACATGGATAAATGTCCTTATTCACATTGTCTCTGGCTTCTGAACCTCAGAAAAGATGAGATAACTAATGGCTATTGACATAAACAGATGAAACTAGGTAAAACAAAAATAGTGACTCTCTGCTTACAGGTCTTCTTCATATAGTTTTCAAGTCGTGTTTCAAACTATGTAGCCAATTAAAATTCCTGGTCAAATAGTAGTAGACTCCTTCAAACTTAGAAAACTGTATATTTACTCTAACTTAGAAATGAAAAAAAACACTCCCTTATCAAGAAAGACAAGATAACTGTAGATTCACAGAAAAAAATTTGCTAAAATAAAATTCAAATAGAAATAGAACACAGAAATTAGCAAAGTAGATTGGTTTGTAATTTATCAAGTGTTCATTATCCTCGGGTGTGAAGCAATTTACTTAATCATAATAAGATTATTCTTAAAATATGAATTTTAATGTTACTATGCTAAAACATTTAGGAAAAAAATCTCTATCACCCAAGCTCAGCATGAATGTTTGTTGCTATTATCACTACTATTGAATTAGTTTGCTGTACTAGAAAACTATATTAGATTCTGGTGTCTATATTAGCAAGCTTGCTTTAATCAAGTATACTTAAAAAGGGCTTTGATATATTAACTATACTCCAAGCCATGTGACAAGTAACATTGAAACATTCACATAAAAGAAGGGTGCTGCCTGTTCTTAAACATGTAGAATGTAGGAGACTTGGAGAATTGGTATCTCAAATACGCTTTTCATGAAATAACATAATTACTACCAATGTATAGAATTTTAAGCAGAATTTTACCACACATAAAAAGCAAACAAAAGAAAGAAAGGGGTTAAAAAAAAAGGACTTTGCCTTTGCCTTTCACAAGGATGCAACCAGTCCAAAGATGACTTACAGTAGCACACCAGACAAGGGAAAATGTGAAAATTAAAATAAAAATGTACTCCAATAGGTTGTGGTTCCTGGGGCCTGGTTTGATGGCTGCAGCCAAGTTTTAACCACTGTGGAGGGAGATTTAGTCAAACAACTTAATCCTTCTCTCATTCATAAAGTATGTGCCTGGCTCTGACTCCCTTGGTGCAACAAAACTCATCTAGGCAAGTGTGCCTTTGTGGTCTCTGCTTGAGGCTCATGGGAAGAACAATGGATTCCCATAAACATCAATCTCACTAGGCATGCAGCAGGGCACAAGCTGATAAGCCCTGACATGAGTACAACCGTTTAGGGTTTTAATAGGACATCACACTCATCATCTCCTGATGATGACTCCAAGGAACAAAGCGACTGAAGAACGATGTTTATAGTGTGCATAAGCCATCTTGAAAGCCTGTCATAAGCCATCTTGAAATCAAGCCTTAAGACTCTAGGTTCAACATTTCTGCCTCATCCCCAGTGACTCCGGAATCATTAATCAGTATGGTCTTTGGAAAACGGGGGTTAAGAGAATGGGTAAGTGACAGAGGTGTCTTCTATGAGTCATCATGGATGTTTCTTAGGTTGGGGTTACTTTGGGAGGTGGCCCCCAGTGACTGTGCTGTGTGAATATTATTAAACACTAACCCGAGGAGACTACGGACCCTTTGGAAACAATAGGAAAGGTGTCTTATGGCACTTGTCTCCTGCCTCTCCCACCATGGCATCTGCTTTCTACCAAGCCAAGGCAGTGTTCTGGGCCTGATAATTTGATAGGTTACCTCTATTCTCAATTTGGATTCTAGTCATGTATCTGAGGGTACTGCCATCGTGGCAAAAGAAGAAATGCATTTGCACTTTGTTACCAGTTCCTAGTTCAATGCGGCTAACACACTTGAAGTTTTCTGAATAACAGAAGTGTATTTTATCCCACCTGAGCATATATGCTAATGAAGTGACTTACGCATATCCCTTGGATAGATAGACTCGGGAATGGTTCTCGTCCCAGAAGGACCAATGACTACAGGACTGCAACCCTCAGCTTGGGGGATGGAGGAGGTGGAAATCAGGCTGTGTGAAGGTCTTGAACACCAGGTTTATATAAGATTGCAGTGTAAACACAGGGGGGGGGCGTGGGGGGGGGGGAGTGTGCAGAGTACAGTGTGCCCTGTGTATATTTCACCTGGTTCTTCATTTACACCCTGCATGATACCTTTCATAATAAACTGCTAAGCATGTTTCTGAGTTCTCAAAACACATCTGTCAAATTTACAAAATCCAAAGAAATCTTTTTATTAAATAATAATTATCATATATATATATATGTATATATATATATATATATATATATATATGATTTCATGAGACAGGGTTTCTCTATGTAACAGCCCCAGCTGCTACCCTGGAACTCTGGAGAGCAGGCTGGCCTTGAACTCACAGAGATCAGTCCACCTCTGCCTCCCACCAGTGCTGGGATAAAAGGCGTGTGATACCATGCCCAGCTCAGACTCTGTTATCTTTAAGATAGGGCCAGTCCTGGGACTAATCATCATGGATACTTATACTTGTACTTTGTCCTCAGGGCTTACACTTTAGGCTATGTTTTAGGTACAAGTGTGTAATCAATGCAGCAGGTATAGGAGAAAACAAAATAACCAGGTTCTGAACGTGACTGTAGGGTTCAAGTGCTTGCCTGGTGTCATGTGAGACTTTAGAGAAGTGATTAAATACACTCTTGAGAAATTGCAACTGTTAAAATGAAAGCTATGTAAATTTGCTCAAAAAATTATAGATGCAAATGGCTGTTAAGAAGTACTACTAATATTGTCAACAGTACTCTTGCTAATAGTATATTATTATAACAATGCTTGACTCTATGTAAAATCTGCTTTTCACAGTACCCTGCAATTCCATTAATTCTGTTCTTAGCTAAATACAACATTCCGTTATCTATGCTTTTTTTCCAATTGTTTTACCCACAGAATGGCTCTCTGAATACCCTTATACAATCAGTCTTTAGTATCTTTATGGTTGATGCTATCAATCAGTATTAGGCTGTTTACCCAGTATGCACAAGGCTCTACATCAAACTGCTACCATATCATACATAATTAAAAAATAAAAATAAAATCTATTTCTAATCAAAGTCATGCTTCAATCTTTGTTATTCAAGTATCTTAAGTGAACTACCCTAATACCCCACATGACCTATGTTTTCTCCAAGATCCTTGGATATCCCCACTATGTAGCATTCACAAACTGACAGGACAACAGAAATAAGTCTAGTGACCTCTCTAAGCCTCAAGTATTCAGCTGAGAACAAGGAGGACCACATAGTTCATGTGTAATTCAAAAGATGGGAGGAATATTTAGAAACATTTTTGCAATGATATACATATCTGAGGCATTCTTACATTTATGTGTTGATTTCAGACAATTTCAGATTTATTCTTAATCTTAAAGAGAAAATGTTTTCCATCTCAAACTCTTTGGTGGTTTGAAAAGATATGGCCCCCAAAGATTCATATGTTTGAATAGTTGGTCCATAGGTAATGGCACTATTAGGAGGTGTAGCCTTATTGGAGGAAGTGTGGCTTTGTTGGAGGAAGTTTGCCACTAGGAGGTGGGAGTTGAGGTCTCAAAAACTCAAGCCAGTTCACTTCCTGCTGCCTTTGGATCCAGATATAGAACTCTCAGCTACTTCTCCAGCACCATGTCTGCCTCATGCTTCCCACCATTATGATAATGGACTTATTAAATGTTTTCCTTTATGAGAGTTGTCATGGTCATCGGGTCTCTCAAAAGCAATAAAATGCTAAATAAAACAGAAATAGGCATCAGGAATTGGGGTATTGCTGTGACAGGCCTGACCATGCTTTTGTTTGGAAAAATATAGACTTTGGGACTTTGAATCAGAAAAACAGTTGAATGCTTTAAATGAGGCTTAATGAGCCATCCTTGTGGGAACATGGAAGACAGTGGTGCTGAGGGTGATTTGAATGGCAGGGGCCTGGCACAAGGGGTTTTAGAGGAGAAGAAGTTAAATATACGGTCTAGAGACCATTCTTGCAATATTTTCGAAAAATCTGTCTGTGGCTAAAATGAAGAGGTGTGGATTAAATGTATTAGCAGAGGAAATGTCAAAACAGCCTAGTATTGACTTTGTCATGTGTGGATTTTAGTGTTCACTCCTATGCAGATTTATAATGAAAAGGAGCAAGCTATGCAAGGAAAAATACAAGGTGTACATTTTGAAGAGAAAAGGGGTACCAGGAGGTAGAATGGAGCTAATTCCTGTGTTCAAGGAGATAAAAAGGTTAAAGAAAATCCTGATGTTAAATAGAATCAAGGGAGTGGTGATCTCAGGGCAAGATCCCACCCAACTAAGCTTCCAACTTTCAAAAAGGAATAAAAAGAAAACTTAAAGGTTTTCTCTGCCATACCCTCTTCCTCTATCTTCATAGAAGTGAAAGCTTGCAGGTACTTACTTACCTTCTCTTAGGTCTCGACCTATCTTGGGCAGGGACTTTTTCCCCATTGACAGTCCATGAACTTCTGCTCCCTCCGTGTTCACTCCTAAAGGGACCCTGTCCATTCAAAAAAGTTGATACTAAAGTTTAACATTAAATAAAAATTTCCCAAGGCAAACAACACTGTATCTATACAAGCTTTGATCCTGAACTATATACTATTCACCTATCTTTATAAAGTGATATGCCTGTGCTTTTATATGGATCTTTCAGCTTCTGTGAGATGCTGTTTCTCTCTAAGTTTTCTTTGCAACTTCTACTAAAATTAATTGCAACTCCAGTGTCACTCCCTTCATGTCCTGAAGAAGATGAAAAAAAATGATGTATGCACCTTCATAATTCTCCATGTTATATTGTGTCTTGAACATGGACTACATCACTGAATAATGCTGGAGTGAAGATAGGCCATGCCCTAATGTAATAGTTGGTTCTTGACTCTTCTGAGGAGAAAGACACAGTGTGTGTCAAGCTTTGCAAATACACAAATAAGAGTAGATAGCCTAGCTGGGCATTGGTGGTGCATGCCTTTAATCCCAGCACACAGGAGGCAGAGGCAGGCGAATCACTGTGAGTTCGAGACCAGCCTGGTCTACAAGAGCTAGTTCCAGGACAGCCTCCAAAGCCACAGAGAAACCCTGTCTCGACAACAAAAAAAAAAAAAAAAAAAAACAAAAAAAAAAAAAAAGAGTAGATAGCCTTTTAACTGACACAAACTGGGTACAGACAAACACTCCTATATGTCCTTGATTCTCTCCCAGTCATCTTATGTTACCCAAGGGCTGAATGACGACAAGATTCTATGACATGAATCTTCCACTTTATTGTGGCAAAATTATAAGCAAATCCCTTCCATTGACATGGCCTGTCTCAATTGGAAAATAGGTCAATTGGACTATGTGATCACAAACCAGTAACTCACATGTGTGATAAGCTTGAGTTATTTAAAATCCTGTGAATTGACTACAATTATATTAAAAATGAGTTCCCTTACTTTTGATTTGTTCAATTATAACACATAGTTCACTATGACTGATCTCAATTTCAAAGGGAAATTACCATCAGAAAGCAAATTTTGAATATGTTAAAAATGCATTGTATGCAATTCTCGAAGTTTTGGGGGGCATTCAAGAAAAGGTTTCTCTGTGTAATATCCCTGGCTGTCCTGGAATTTGCTTTGTAGATCAGGCTGGCCTCAAACAGAGATCTACATGCCTCTGCCTCCCAAATGCTGGATTAAAGGCCATCCATGACCACTTGGCAAGGATAAAAAAATGCACACACACACATTTTAAAAAGAGAATTTTGTAAAATTTGTTAACAAAAATAACACCCAACTTTGAGCAATGATTAATCACAGGAAGTTAGCATTTGGAGACTTCCTGGGCTAACTCCTTCATGTAAGAAAAAGTATTCATACACAAAAATAATTACTCATATACCACACAGAACAGAGTGGGAGAGCTGGGGCCATGACCCAGTTCCTAATGTGCAGCACAAAAGTTGCAACTACAGCCCATTCTCTAATCCAGTGGAGTTAAGTTCCTTGTACCACCTCCTGCCTCTGAACACTTTCTCTCATTTTAGTTTGTTTTCCAACTGAAGGACTCACCGGTTCTCATCCTGCCGTTCTCCGTAACTGATCCAGTAATTCTGTTTTTAGTTGAGAAAAAGGTATAAATTTATTGTTAGAACACCATTTATAGGCATAAAAAATTTAAAATATTTTTTTTTGGTTTTTCAAGACAAGGTTTCTCTGTGTAGCTTTGGAGGCTGTCCTGGAACTCACTTTGTAGACCAGGCTGGCCTTGAATTCACAGAGATCCCCTGCCTCTGTTTCCCGAGTGCTGGGATTAAAGGTGTGAGCTACCACCACCCAGAACTTAATATACTCTTAATGAAATATTAAGAAGGCTTTAAATACTCAGAAACTTGCACTGTGTATTGATGAGAAGGTTGGTGCAATTTTGGCAAAGACACCATGGATAACAAATGAATAAACACTGCACGGAATCAGAGCCTTGGTTCTTTTGCACTGCATAGTGACCTGAAATCTGTTAACAGAAAGAGCTTCAGAAATCTTTCAAAACAAGGACTTTGTGTATCATCAATAAAATCTTTAAAAAGAAATCAAGCTGGACTATCTGTGCAGATCCATGAAATGAGTGCTGTTGTGGTGATTCTTGTGAAAACACAATTCTTCAACATATTAAAGCAAAACCAAATTCACTGTCAATGCTACACCAGAAATATTACCTTATAATAACTGGATTTTTAATAACAATAAGCCATAATTTAAAAAATCGAAAATATGCTGCAATTAGTGGTCTCCTCAACAGATTAACATGGGTATTACATAAAAATATTCAGTACTCAATAGATAAGTGGAAAAAATCTATACCTATGTAATTTAAAGAGGAAAAATAAATACTATGTGAAAAGGCAAAATACTATGAACAGGCATCCATCAGAGGAATAAAAGTTAGAATAGCAATGACAGGAGATGGCGCTGAATATACATGAGTAGTGCAGTTTCAAGAACTTTTTCAACCTCATACTTTTCATGCAAAGTGAGTCTACACTTGGAATGTATTCAAATGTAATAGTTCAATAGAAAATGTTCACTGTACCATTAATGTTTGAAAGAAATCAGAAATAATTCAAACATCAAAGGAGTTAATCATATATTAATTCCATGTATGTAGTGAAAACATTTTAAAGCCTTAACAAAATGAAGACCACAAGTGTCTCCTTAAATACAAACAAAAACATGCATTTATCCACAGCAGTGATGGGGTTTGTAAGGGGCACTTCTTCACAGGACAATGGGGGACAACAGGGCACAATGGAAGATGATGAGGGAAGTAGAGAAAGCACAGCATCAAGGCTGACTCGGCCCAGGCCTTCTGAAGGTGTGTTATATGGTTTAAAGAACAACACGCATTAAATTTAATTAAAAAATTTACATCTAGAGGTTAGAAAACAATACTGCAGAAAAAGAATCATGCCCAAAATATTTGCTTTTGACTTTCGACCTCAGCATCATGGGAATCTATCAAAATCTTTTAAAGTTCACCACATGAATAACTTAAAGACTTCTAATCAGTTATTACTTTAGAGAGGTTATTAGAATCTCCAACTAATGTGTCTGGGGCACTAATACTTAAATATCCACCAAGAAGGTTTTTTAATAACAATTCATTTTCCCACTTGGTTCTTACCGGTTCTGAATATAAAAATCCCAGACCCTCTGCAGCTGACTTTATCAGTTCAGATTCAAGGTTATGACGTTTGACAAATGCTGTTAAATCCTAGAGAGAAGGAGAATTTATATTTAAATAACAGCTACAGGACATGATAGATGCTGGAGTGGAACTTTTCATTATAGTGGTCAATAAGCTAACATGAAGATCAGAGCTGCAGAAGCAGTCCCCTTGGCAACAGGTATTCACAAGCTAGCCCCTATGAGAAACGTGCTTATATCATGGTTAAAATTAGAAAGTTGTCATCATTGTTGCTGCTGTCCGTCAATTGGTTTTTAATTAGTTCTCCTTGAAACACAAGGCAGTTTCTCACTGCAATCCGGTCTTACCTCTCGGGCTTCAATGGATTCTGGGTCAATGCTGTCGTCTAGCAGGCTTTCATAGTAGTCTACATTGTCCAGGACATCCTCATCATCTGGATGGAACATCAGGTAGGCTTTGGCACACTCCAAGGCTTTCACATATTCACCAACTAGAAACACAAGGCATTGCTACATTTGAGTCAGCTATAGCTTCCCAGACGACTTCAGGGGAAGACTTCTGGGGTGTCTACTGACGTTAGTCCAGATAATCATAAACAGGGGATAAACTGAGGCTGATCGGAAAGGTCAGCAGCATTTACACAGAAGAACAGACAAGATTTCAGGTACTCAGGAGGGATAACCCTTTGTTTGCTTCAGTCTGGGCACTTAGAGGAAATCCTTTAAACTCTATCTGAAAATGTTTATGTGTGATCCCTGTAATAGCAGAGCAAAACTGTATGAATTCATTGTGACTTTTTTGTACAGTTTGACCTAAGTAAATATTCTGAGCATGACCTTCTAATATGATGATATGGCATCTGTGAATAAAATATGAGTGGAGAAGTGACTCCAAAGTGTTATTTCTTATCACTGGAAAATGTGTTGTAAACTGTTGCTTCTATAGGGTAACCTTGAGAAGGTTCCCAGAGCCTCAGATGGTCTGTTCTAGCCCTTTCTCACACAACTGGGACAACCTTAACAGTATCTAGTTGTTACAGAGAGCAGTCTAGGATATTTCAAATATGATTTTTTGTTATAGAAATATTTAGCTATTGCAAAAAGAAATATTTAACTGTTAGAAACAGTATGTTGAAATGCTGTGTGACACCTTCTCAAATAGGTTATGCAATTAAATTTCTTTTAAAAAGACACTTCCTCTCTTCAAACACACAGACACATACATACACATACAAAATATACATATATATACAGACATACACACATTTTATATATATGCATATATATATGGTGCATATATTCTCAGAGATGGCTCTGAGTATAAGAGATGGTATTCAGTATCTTTTCTTGAATAAAAAAGGAAGCTACAGCTATTTCAAATTACTATATTTTGCCTAGAGGATTGTGGAATATCTAAACATTTTGTAATATATTCTGATGATGATCCCTGGAAAATACAGCCCATATGGATGAAAATTTGGTGATGTGAATCAAAACTATAAATGAATTAACTATTTGAACCTCCAGCTATTTATCCTTAGACATACGTATGTAGATGTGCATGGGCATGTCTAAAGTGTTATCCACTTGAAAATTCACTGCAGTCACAAAAGATACCAACAACACAACTGTCCCTCAGTCAGAAGACACATTAAGTAAGTCCTAATCCAATGGTACGCAGGCTTTTAAAAAAAGAGACAGAGCAGAAAGACCACTCTGCGCTCACCTATTAAAGTTGAATAATAAATTACTAGAATTTAATTTTGACCTAAAATATGATAATTTCTATGCCTAACCTACTAAAAGTCAGCTGTCATGTATTAAGCAAAAAATGATGCAGAAAATACTATAAATATATGCTGCCTTCATGTTAAAGAAGAAGGAAAATTCTGAGTGTATTTGCATATATATAAGCATTTGAAAGACATGAAAGTATACTATGGATACAGAAAGAGGAAGAGGATTTTTGAACATTGGTTCTTTCCAACATGGGGATCCAATCCTACTGAAAGTGAGTTGAAAAAAGCAGCCTAGGTTGAAAAGCAATCTTGCAAGTCTAGTGTAAGCTTTAGGATGTTATCACAGTCATTCCTGTGCTTCATCCACCACTAGTGTCCTGCCTTGCTTGCTCTGAACTGCTGCTCAATGGCAAGGAGAAGAAAGTGCACAAACCTGCAAACCTTTGGTGATGAAATGAAAGAAAGCAGGGGTCCAGATGGTGAACAGATGCCAACAGTTGTGGGGGATATCTACTTAGGCACAAAGGGCCTGGGGGACAATAGTCCCTTGCTGACCTAAAGCATACTAAACCAGCTATCTGAGCATGCAGTATGTTAACTTCCCCAAATTGAGCCAACCTAGGGTCTGCCAAGGGTGTTATTCTTTTGCTTAAATTAGAAATAAAGAAGAGGCGCAAGATGAGAATGAGACTAAGAGATATATTAACCAGTGTATTTATAAGCCCAGCGGAGTAGAGAGAGTAAGATAGAGGAGGAACAGGGTTATTGGCTGACTGCCATGGCCGGTTGTGAGAGAAAGAGGCAGAGAGGGTGTAAGGGAAGAGTCAGAGAGACAGAAGCAGAGAGAAGAGAAGAGGGGCAGAGAGCATAAATGGGCAGGGATCTGTCTTTCAAAGGGGTCCTCTACACCTGCATGCAGACTTAGTTCTCATGGAACCCTGGGCTGACCAGGGTACTGCCTAAGTGGATTCTGCCAGGTAACAGGGACAGGACAGCATAATGCCTGAACCTTTCAAAGGGAGCCTCTAACAACTGCTGCTGTGCCATGAGAATAGATACGCTGAACCATGAGAGACGCGGATGCAGTGTTGCTGTCGTCCCCACCCCCCTCCCCGGGCAGGTGGAGGTATATAAGGCTTTCCCCTTCCAAAAAAAAAAAAAAAAGACTGGGCTTGCTACATCCAACTTGTCTCCTGGAGTCTGCATCATTGACTCTGTGCCTACTGGCCCCCTCCCCCAGGCAGGATCTCAGTGGGACAAAGCTGCAGTGAGAAAGAGAAACCCCCAAAGGTCTTCATGGATGACCCATACTTTACCTCTGTAGTATGCAAACTGTAGGTAGTCGTAATGCAAGGGAAGAAAGTTCTCAATTGGTGAGAGGCGGCCTGGGCGGGTGGCAAGTTCCCTCACACACTCATGCTGACAGACCAGCACCTGCATGTAGTGATCTGGAAGGCAAGAATGAGAGGGTGTGTCCTCCGGCTGCTGAGACCACACCTTGGCCAGGGCAGCACTTTTACAGAGCATGTTTTACCACACAACACACAACACTCAGAGAGAGAGAGAGAGAGAGAGAGAGAGAGAGACAGAGACAGAGACAGAGAGAGAGACAGACAGAGACAGAGAGAGACAGAGAGAGACAGAGAGACAGAGTCAGAGAGACAGAGAGAACACTGTATTATCATTTCCTAGCCTGAAAACTTCAGACAGTGGTTTGTGACATCATCTTAGCCATGATCACTGGACATCACTGGGTCCCAAACCTCCGCAGCATGCCAGGCTTCCTGTGCATAAAGCCATAGAGTGTAGACACACTGAGCTTCTTTTTGGATGCTGCAGAGTATCTGAGACACCCTGGAACTGAGACAGGACAGTCACATCCTAGTGATGTTAAAGAAGTCATTTAGAAATCCGGGCGTTGGTGGCTCATGCCTTTAATCCCAGCACTCAGCAGGCAGAGGCAGGCGGATCTCTGTGAGTTCGAGGCCAGCCTGGTCTCCAGAGGGAGTGCCACAGAGAAATACTGTTTGGAAAAACAAAAACAAACAAACAAACAAACAAAAACCAGAAAAGTCATTTAGAAAGTGGAACAGCCATAGATGCAGGAAGTTCAGCAGGGGAAACAGAGGATTCAAACTCCTTTTGCCTGCCAATTTTCTTTCTAAAGGAGAAATTAAAATGAGATTTCAGAACCCTAATCCATCCAGTTGTAAACCAGACTCTCACTGGACACCCCATATTCTAATACAGGGGATACTGTTTTGACAGAGAGTGACAAAATGGCAGAAAGGATGACAGCTAAGTAATTAGAATAAACACTGTCCTTGCACCCTCTTCAGTGGTTATTGTTCTCCATTGTCTTCTTTGCATGCTATTCAGTGGTTACTGTTCTCACTTAAAACAGTTAAGAAATGGAAGTACAGGGCATTCCATGACCCTTAGCTCTACACTCTATTTTATCAAGGCATGCACTGAAGAAACACAAGCCACTAGTGTCACAAGGAAAACTCCCCTTCCTCTTTGCCTAACTTTGACTTCTATAGCAATGATGGGGCAATGTTTTCCAGGGAGGGAATGGTTCATTCATGTTTGCGTTGAGTAGGCTCTCTGGCAGCTTAGAAAACCACTTGACTTCATGGTTGCACAATTCACTTGGCCTAAACAACTTCTCTCAAGAGGGTCTCTCTCGCTCTTTTTTTTTTCCCTTTCTGGGAGCTGGGATGCTGGTTGTGGTAGTTAAGAGTCAAAGAAACTGAATGTTCTTTCCCAGAGGCAGTATCTTAACCAACACTAAATACTAACCCACAGAGGGTTAACAGGATCTAGATCATGGATATTGATAGCACAGATGCAGAGGCAAATATGGGGCTGAAGATAGGGCACATCATTCCACAAAACCACAGCATAGTAAATTATTAAATAGTTAAATATTATATATAATATATATAATACTATAAATGTTAAAGAAATGGCTCATTTTCCTCGCAAAACATTGTGTGCTGAGGAAAAATTAAGTAATTACATTGTAACAGACACACAAAATTGACTTTGAAATGAATGATATTCACAAAAATACAGGGAGGTTAAAATGGCAAATGTCCAAGGAAACAAAAGTTTTGGAAATAAATCCTCAAAATAATGCATACAAGCATATTGATTTTAGGTAACTTAAATTTACTTTGGATATTAGAGCATTTCAGAGTCTGATAATTTAATGTAGTGATTTTGAGTGTAATAGATATATTGATTCTAATTTACATTTTGCAGTTATTCTCTAATTAGCTTCTAAAAAATCCACCTTTATTTATAGCCAGCATTATCACAAAGTCCAAGACATTACTATCACATTTATCTCTGCATAGTTATTGGTGTATATATCACATCCTTTATTCTTGAATCCACCAACACATTCATTTAGACAAGATTTGTTAAGTGGTTGAGGGATCTGCCAATCCCTGAGGAATAAGGACTGAACAAGATAGGATACTGGTCACACGATACCGGAAAACATCCTGCATTTGTGAGAACAGGGAGTGGAGCAGCACATCCAAAGAATTCAAAGAACTTGAGAAGGCAGGAATGAAGAGAGGATGCAAATACGCATAGGAGAGTTCTTCAAGGTTACTGGCTTTATTCCAAGTGGAATAAAAGCCATGATGGGAGGGATTTTATGTACAGGAGCCCTGTTAGGGCAGAATTTGCACTCTGCATTATAGCTGTATCTGAACTGCCCACCAAGAACAGGAAGGAGGCCATCATGGGGGCTTGGCCAAATTGCAGTTTTGATTTAAGCAAAATCTCCCTGGCAAACAGGTTAAGTCAGTGTTAAGTGCCATATGAAAGGAGCATTGTCCAAGTTTGGTAACAAATAGGATGGACTTAAGATTTGAGAAAGATGTTAAATTGAAAAGGCACTTCCCTGGATTGACTGTATCTCCCTCAAAAGCTACTAAGTTAAGTACTTTTGAGGGAGATACAGAAAACTTAGAATTGGAAAGATAAACTGACTTCAGTGACTTCCACATCAGTTTTCCATTATGTATGTCTTGGAACATCACATATCATCAATATATATGTGACAAAGATTTGGTATTACATAAGTTATTCTTTATGTGGTTTTTTGATTATGTTGACTTTAAAAGTATGGGCTAAAAAAAAAAAAAAAAAAAAAAAAAAAAAAAAAAAACCCTGGGTCTGATTCTTAGTTTGTTTCTAGCCACCTCACTCAATGGTTCTAATTAACAAATTCCTCACCTAAAGGGAGCAGAATCTCTTTAGTTTCTGCAGATTTGTGTGAGAAGTCTTCCTGAAAGGTCAACATCCTTGAGGCCCCTGTGATACCATCAAGAACAATAAAACCAGCCCCTGGCTGGGGAGGCTACAGGCCTACCCTACCACCATTGAACCTACTACAGTGTGCAAAATGCTTGCTTTGTCAAACTGCTTTTTAAATACTGCTTACAATACCCACTGGTTTGTGCTGCTCAAGGCTTCCTTCAGAGAAGCTGTTTACTACTTAACCACTGGGGTGGTGGTTAATGAAGGACCCACGGGTGGCTAAAATGCAGATAATACATGATGATGGAGTGCTCATCTGGACATGACAGAGTTATAACACCCCTCCAAAGCTCAGAAAACATCCTGGAGGGCATGGGGGATGTCAGAAAGAATGTAAGAGGATGGGAAGATGTGGAATTAAAAGATGTTTTCTGGACATGACATAGCCTGTGTATATATGAACTCACTGTAGCTGTGTTTACTTGCACAAGACATGTCCAATACTGGGCTCATAAAAATTTCATCAAGGTGGGAGGAAAGACCTATTAGGGTACTGGTGGTTAGTGGTTGTTGGTGGACAGGTGTCATCTTAATGTAGCCACTAGAAAGCCTTCCTTCTCAAACAAGTAATATCCCTGCCCATGTTCTAGTAAACTCACTGCACCACACAAGGGAGGGAGAAAGAGAGAGAGAGAGAGAGAGAGAGAGAGAGAGAGAGAGAGAGAGAATTAGGGGGGATCTTTTCAGAAGAAGGGCTTCAGTTGGAAAAGGAAGTAGGATCCTGCAGTGGAGGGGGTGGAAGTTGAAGGGGAATGGTGGCTCCTCTGTAATCCCCATGGTCCTGGGGCCTCCAACTTTCCATTTCACTGACTAGAGATGTAAGCAAAAAAAAGAGCTATGGTCTTGTGGTCTGGTGCTACAAGTGTTTAAGCTCAGCTACTTGGGTGTCTGAGGCAGGGGATTACAGAATCAATGCCTGCTGGAGACAGAGTGAGTTCAAGGCCAGTCTGGGCAATGTAGAGAGACTAGAATCCCACTATAAAAAATAAAAGGAGGGATAGTGTTACAACACAGGAAGACGGTGCTTGCCTAGCATGCATGATACCATCGGTTTGATCCTCAGTATTACACAAAAAAAAAGCAAAAATAAGAGAATGGGTGTATTTTTGTTACAATCATTATATACACATTGGTAATTACTACTACTACTAATTGACAGACTAATTACTACTAATAATTTATAATTTCCCTTTACTATGAAAGGTATTACATTTTGTCTGTAAGTTGAGATATTATTCACTTGCTTTTGTAATCAATTTAATTCTATAGGTGTTTTATGTAGAATATGGTTTCCACTTTCTCTTGCCTTTTGCTCCATATGAGATCACTTCACCTATATAAACACACTCTTAAAGGTTCTCCTGACAGTAGTAATTTTACACTTATATTGTTAGTACAAATTGTTTATTTTCAAATATGGTATATACAGATAACTCACTTCTTCCAATAAAAGGTTAATTACCCAGTATCAGCAACTCTTGAATATCACACATTGCCTACTATTTTAAACAACTTTTTCAAGCATAGTCTTCCAATTAAATGCACAAGACTGTATCAAAAGACTCATTGCTATATTACTTACAATACTGAAAAATTTCAGCCATTTCAGTATTCAATAGTAAAGAGTAATATTTAAAATGATGATGGACCCATATTATGGGTGTTATCTAGCCACTACATACAACAAAGTGAATCCACATGTACTTACATGAGAAGTCCACATTTTGTTGCTAGGCATAAAATAAAATAAAAAAAATATTGAATGTTGAGAAGAAATACTCATAGTACTTTCCTATTTTTATATTGATGAAATAAATAAATACACAATTATTTACAAATACACCAGAAGTAGTTGGAAAGAAAAATCTCAAAATTTTAACTATAAAAATTAGCAGCCGAGGACAGGGTGGAATAGACACATGAGAATCTTTCACTTTTTACACTGTTTACTAAGAGGCACTGTATTATCAGAATATTTTTACACAATTTCCATAGCATTTTAGAGTAAGCAAACAATGAACAAAGCCAAACTTTACCTGCGATTGCCTCATAAAGACCGCCTTTATACCCTAAGTACTCATATTCCTCAAATCTCTGTGGCCCTTCACATAGAGCTCGGCATGCCACATCTTCATTGTAGTATTCTCTTAAAGCTTGCTCAAAGTACTTGATTGCAGCTTCAAAGTCATCAGCCTCATAGTGTTTAACTCCGGCATTATAGCTCTCCTGCAAGGACACAGCAATGATATTGTTTGTCAAGAGTGGGATGTACACAGACCCAGGATCATTTAGGCAAGAGCAGAACTTTGTGCTGCAGAAGGTAATGACAGGTTTCACTGGTCTGTCCATTGTGACTTCCAATGTGCTGAGGCAGGGGGATTACTTGAGCCAGCCACAGCAATATAGCAAGACCTGGTATCAACTAACAGATATCTACAGACCATTCCACCCAAGCACTAAAGAATACACATTCTTCTCAGAAACTCACAGATGTTTTTCCAAAATGGGACTTGTCTTAGGATACAAAGAAATGCCCCAACAAATATAGGAAAATTGAAATAACGTCCAGAATTCTATCTGACCACATGGAATAATGTTAGCTATCAACAGCAGAAAAACTAGCCAAGGGACAGAAACTCACTGAGACTAAACAGCCACACCATTTAATGACCTGTAGCTCATTCCTATTATACCTCCTTCTTGCCAGGCTCAAGGAACTTCAAAGAATGGGGGTGGGAAGAATGAATTCAAGACATAGAAATCGTGAAGGACTGGGGTGAAGCAGTGTCTTGTGGACATGATAGACCGGCTGCACTCATGAAATAACAGCATCAGCAACTGATTACACAACACCGGCAGAAGACCAAGTCATTGAATATTCTACCATAAAGTGGGAAGAGTCACTTCTGCCCCCACCTCTAGCTGAGGAGTCGCTGAGATGTGATAGCTGCTTTCGGGGGAAGAGTATGTTTTCTTTAGCGGTTTAGTCACTTGTCGGGAGGTGCTCTAGTGCATACCCCATACCCGAGCGTATATGGGTTTCACTCACTGGTCTGAATGGTTTATTTTAGAAGAAATAAAAAGATGACATGAAGGTGGGAAGAAGGAGGTGGGGGAGGGTGATCAGGAATCCAAGTAGAGTTGGAAAGGAGGAGTAGGGTTGAGTGTGATTCAAAATCATTGTATACACTTAGGGCATTTTCAAAGAAGTCATAAAAATATTGCATTAAAAATAAACTACAGTGCTAAACAGAATAGGAAATGTCTAGGGAACATTGTAAAACCATGTTCAATGTCTTTGGCAATCAAGGAAATTCATGATAAAACTACTTTAAGGCTCCATCTTACCCCATTCAGTATGGCTATCATTAAGAATAGCAACAACAAAGGCTGGAGTGGATGTGAGTGTGTGTGTTGGGGGGGGGACCCATTTACACTGTGGGTGGGAGCGTGAGCTATTGTAGCCACTCTGGAAATTGGTCTGGAGGTTTTTTTTTTACAAACTAGAAATAAAACTATCATATGAGCCAGGCATGAACTCCTGACTACTGACATAATCTGGGATGAGGGAGCCATTACCTTCAGTCATGTACCCACCGCTGGGCCAATCAGTAAAAGTCTGGGCCAAAAGTGGTCACTATGCACTTTTTACATTGGGTGAAACTATCAAATAATAAATTATTAATTAAAAGATATGGTGTGAAAAACTGCTGAGTAAAAGCCAAAGCTTCATGGAGGAGACAGACAACTTCATGGAGTTTTAGGTTCCTCCATAACCTGACTTTTCATTTCTCTCAACTTCAATTTTTAATTAATGAAATTTTAATATAGAATATCAAATATAGTTTCACCCGTGCTTACAAAATTTCATCTCAGAGTTCTAAACATAGGAAAGGTAGTAAACACTAAGACTCAACTTGATACATGAATCTATTATATGATGCAGCCTGGAGCCCATTGAACAGGTATAGTTTGGCTTCCCATGGCAGGGACAGGGGTCGCAGAACTCACCATATGTGGCCTGGCTTCTCTGTCTACCAGCTGGATGGCTTCCACCCCTGCTGTCTCTCTATAGTCCTCTATGTTCTGCTGCATTTCCATGTGCTCTGGGTTGGCCATGAAGAACGTGTGGGCTGCTTCCATCGCCTTTTCCAGCTGGTTAAGCTATAGAAGAAGAGGACAAAATCAAGGAAATGTTTTGTAGACTTGGCTTGGAGAACTAATGAGATCACTCCAAGGTCTCAAAGTAGAGAAGTAGTAGGAACAGGATTCCAGGTAAAATACACACACACACACACACACACACACACACACACACACACACATGCATGCATGCACGCACGCACACACCCCCACACACCCCATACATGTACACATACAGAGACACCTACACAGACACATGAACATGCATACTATATTCTCTACTATATTGTATTCTTTCATGCTGTTAATAAACCGTTTATGAGATTATATGGGGCTATTTTGGTCCTGGTGAGAGAATAGATGGGGTTTACTACCAGTTTATTCTCTTCCCTTGTTTTACATATCTGTGTTTTAAAGAAAGTGATCTATACCCTCATATTATTGTTGCCCTTTAGTTTATATTTCAACAGTGGAACTTATAACTTCATGTGAGAGTGGAAATACCTCTGTGATTTTCTAAATGATGGAACTGGGTAAACTCTCCCTGCACCATATTAGTTCTTTAGCTTTAGAGAGTAAAGAATAGGAAGTTGAAAGAAGTAAATTAGTACAGGGCAGGAAAGAGGCTAACTTTGTAGCTTGGATATTCATTAATGCAAAGGGGTGGATTATTTTTAATTGTGTGCATAAGTGCCGGTGTCAATGGATGCCAAGGGAGGGTGATAGATTCCTAGAGCTGGGATTATAGGCAGTAGTGAGCAGCCTGGCCTAGGTTCTGGAAACCGAGCTCTGCAAAGTCTACACATGTTCTTAATGATGGAGTCATCTGTCCAGCACCAAAACCAACAGATTTTGAATAACCACCATGTCAACATTCGAAGCCGCTTTGTGTTAGTCTTCATGGTGAAATACGGAGATATTTTTTACCTAAGAGGAATTAAATTCATTCAATGTAAAAACATTTTGTTTCTGCTCAGGTCATGGAGGACCCCCTACATAAAGCTTCACTGTCTTCATACCATAGATGTAAACATTTATATTGGTTATCTTTTTATAGTAAAAACAAAAGAATGTCTGATCTGAAGAAATGAAATCACTGTTATTGAATACATAAATATGAAGTCATCCAATATCATAAAACTATTCAACTGTGCTCTTCTCTAACAAAGTAGCTATTCAGTAATTAAGAAATACAGAGACCCTTTGCTTATCACTCCTCCCTCTCCACAACTGGATTCCAGGAGTTTGGCCCAGTGCTTAGCTGTGAATCTCTGCTTCTGCTTCCATCGGCTACTGGATAAAGACTCCATGACAGCATTTAAGGTAGTCATCAATCTCATTATAGGGGAAGTGAATTTAAGATAGCCTCTCCACTATTGCTTAGATTCTTAGTTGGGGGCATCTGTGTGGATCCCTGGGAATTTCCCTAGTGCCAGGTTTCTTGTTAAGCCCATAACAGCTCCTTCTATCAAGGTAACTCTTTCCTTGCTCTCCTTCTATGTCCTTCAACCAGCTTGTGCTTTAGTCACATAGTGAACACAGACTCTGCTCATTAAAAACTGTATACCTGTGCAATTCAGATGGATTAACTGCCTTTTGTGTGAGTGTTTCAGAAACAATAGCACATAATTTATAAATGATCTATCAATTCAATAATTGGGTTTGCCCCCATTACCAAAGTGTAGAATGTATGCTGCCCATGAATATAGCATTTATATGGATACAGTATGTACTTGGGCTCCATAGAAACATACTCTGGGTAACAGCCAAGCTATCAGTAATGAGTAAAACAGGTTAGTGAGGACACAATGGCTGTGTAGCTTGAGACATGGACATTGACGGGACAGTTTGATATTTGTGAGCCTTACTTTCTCACATTTGCTGTGGAATAATTCTTCTGTACACTATGAAGACATGCTGCCCTCATTGTTAATAACAAACTGATTGGCTGATGGCTAGGCAGGTTTTCAGGGCATAGAGAATGCTGGGAAGAAGGAGGGCGGGGTCTGAGGAGTCCTGAGCCAGATGCAGAAGAAGTGACATGGGAAGTTCATAGATGAGGTAAAGGACCCTCAGGGCATCAATACATTAATAGAAATGGGTTAATTTAAGTTATAAGGGCCGGATGGAGACAAGCTTAAGCTATGGACAGAGAATTTATAATTAATATTAAGTCTCTGAATGGTAATTTGGGAGCGGCTTTGGAGATATAGGGAAACTCCGTCAACGCACCCTCCTGTCTTGGCTCAGGCTGGTCCACTGAAAAAGAGAGTGTTAGACCCCCCAGAAAGCTCAGGCCTCCAGGGTCTCAGCCCACGACCGCAGTCACCCCAATCACCAGGCAGATTCGAGAGCTTGATGCAAACTGCATGAGGCTTTATTGTTTTTTTTTTTAACGAGCTAACCCCATGTTAGCTCTGGTCTTTCACCCATCCGCCATGACGGATGGCTAGCAAAGACACTGCAAAGCGTCTACATAGAGATCTTACAGGGCAGCGTAAGGGGAGTGTCTAGGGGTACGCACAGGCTCAGGATTGGTGTGCCTCCAGGCTTGGAGGGCTTGCCCTGTGTTGATTGGCCAACTGGTTGTTATGGCCCATAGGCCCTCCCAGGGTGGTTGCTATGCTCTGCATCATTGCTGTTCGATTGTCCGTAAAGTACACCCAGAGTCATAAAGCATAGCACCACAAGCTAACTTCTGATTGGTTCCTTGTCACAAGGCAGGCACCTAACCTCTAGTGGCCAAGGCAAGGTCAGAAAAGCACATGTCCGGCTGTCATGGCTGCCGAAATGGGGAGCTGGTCCCTTCAGAGAGTATTTGTCCAAGTGTTTTGTTCTTTTCTTTCTTTTTGAAATCTAACTTGTCTCATAAGGCCAAGTTTGAATACTGTCTGAAGAAATGAAAGAAGCTAAATTTATACAATGGAAAAAAGAAAGCATCTTCAACAAATGGTGCTGTCATAACTGGATTCGGACATGTAGAAGATTGCAGATAGATCCATATCTATCACCATGCACAAAATGTAAGTCCAAATGGATCAAAGACTTCAACATAAATCCATCCACACTGAAGCTCTTAGAAAAGAAAGTGGGAAGTAGCCTTGAACAAATTGGTACAGGAGACTGCTTCCTGAACATAACACCAGTAATGCAGACATTGAGATCTACAATTAATAAACGGGACCTCCTGAAACTGAGAAGCTTCTCTAAGGCAAAGAACACAGTCAGCAAGATAAAACGTCAGCCCACAGAATAGGAAAAGATATTCACCAAGCCCACATCTGACAGAGGGCTGATTTCCAAAATATACAATGAACTCAAGAAGCTAGCCACCAAAACACCAAACGATGAAATTAAAAAGTGGGGTGCAGAACTAAATAGAGAATTCTCAACAGAAAATCTAAAATGGCTGAAAGGCACTTAAGAAATTGCTCAACATCCTTGGCCATCAGGGAAATGCAACTCAAGTCAGCTCTGAGATACCACTTCACACCTGTCAGAATGGCTAAAATCAAAAATACCAATGACAATCTATGCTGGAGAGGATGTGGAGAAAAAGGAACACTCCTCCATTGCTGGTGGAAGAGCAAACTTGTGAGACCACTCTGGAAATCAGTATGGAGGTTGCTCAGAAAAATGGGAATCAGTCTACCTCAAGATCCAGCCATTCCTCTCTTGGGTATATACCCAAATAGTGCATGTTCATACAACAAGGACATATGTTCAACCATGTTCATAGCAGCATTGTTTGTAATAGTCAGAACCTGGAAGCAACCTAGATGCCCCTCAACTGAAGAATGGATAGAGAAAATGTGGTATATTTACACAATGGAGTACTACTCAGTGGGAAAAAGCAATGGGATCTTGAAATTCGCAGGCAAATGGATGGAACTAGAAGAAAACAACCCGAGTGAGGTCACCCAGTCACAACAAGACAAACATGGTATGTACTCACTCATATATGGATTTTAGACATAGAGCAAAGGATTACTACAATCCACACAGCCAGAGGAACTAGGAAACAAAGAGAACCCCAAGAGAAGAATGCATGTCCCCCCCACCTGGGAGAAGGGAAAGGAGATAGGATCTCCTGAGCTAATTGGGAGCATGGGGATAGGGGAGATGGAGCTGGAAGAAAGAGAAGGGGGAGAAAAGGAGAGGAGAGGAGGAAATGGGGGAGCAGAAAAGTTGAGTAGGGGGAAGAATAGAGGAGAGCAGGATGAGAGATACCATAATAGAGGGAGCCATTATAGGTTGGAGGAGAGATCTGGCACTAGCGTGATTTCCAGAGATGTACAAGGATGACACCAACTGACAATCTAAGCAATAGTGGAGAGGCTACCTAAATGCCCTTCCCCTATAATGAAACTGATGACTACCTTATATGCCATCCTAGAGCATTCACCCAATGGCTGATGGAAGGAGAGGCACACACCCACAGCTAAACACTGAACTGAACTCTAGAACCCAGTTGCAGAGAGAGAGGAGTGAGGAGCAAAGAGGTCAAGACAGGGCTGGTGAAACCCACAGAAACAGCTGATCTGAACAAGGGGGAGTGCTTGGACCCCAGACTGATGGCTGGGAGGCCAGCATGGGACTGATCCAGACCCCTTAACATGGATGTCAGTGAGGAGGCCTCAACACTCTATGGGGCCTGCAATTATAGATCAGTATTTATCCCTGGGGGAGGAAAGGACTTTAGGGGCCCATACCACATGGAGGGATGCTCTCTCAGCCTGGACACATGGGGGAGGGCCTAGGCCCTGCCCTGGATGATTTGACAGACTTTGGGGGTCCCCCATGGAGGGCCTTACTCTCCCTGTGGAGCAGAGGGAGGATAGGGTGGGGAGTTAGTGGGGTGCTGGGGAGGAGGGGGAAGGAGCTGGGATTGACATGTGAAGCAGGCTTGTTTCTAATTCGAACTAATAAATTAAAAAAAAAAAGAAATGCTTTTTCAGACCTACTGTGACAGGAAAAGAACTTTAGTATCATCTTATCCTTGCCCTGGGACTTACCACACT